AAAGGGGGTATTATGATTAGCATGTATAATGTGGGGGGTGGGGGAAAGGGGAGGGCTTTGCAACACAGAGAAGACAAGTAGTGATTCTACAACATCTTACTATGCTGATGGACAGTGACTGTAATGGGGTTTGTGGGGGGGACTTGGGGTAGGGGAGAGCCTAGTAAACATAATGTTCTTCATGTAATTGTAGATTAATGATAACAAAACAAAACAAACAAAACAAAACAAAACAAAATTAAATTAAATTTAATTTAATTTAAAAAAAGAGAGCAAATAAGACCTTCCCAAAAGTTGGGTCTGGTATGGAACCAAGCCCTGTGACTAGCCTACTTTCTTTATGTATTAAGAACAGAGAATGTCACTGTACCAGATTGAATGGTGCCAGGTCCCAGGTTACTCATGCCTGCCTCTTCAGTTGTTACCAATATATTTTTCTCTTATTAAAAAATGACAGAAAATCTTTAAGATGGCAGAGTCTAGGATGACTAAATTGATGTCTGCTGCAGCACAATCAGGGTATCAGGTTACTCATTTACCACTACCACTACCATGGCTGATGCCACTCCTAGTGTCACATCGCTTCAAAATTGTGTTGAAAGTTATAAAATATGTCCTCTAGAACAATGCTATATACAAACAATTCTGCATTCAATGGGATGAGACTGGATTCCATAGTAGGTGGGCAAGAACTTGATTCCATGTTAGAAACTATATTCTAACTAAATGTACATTACATCTCAATTAAATTTTTTTCTAAAAGATAAAAGAAAAAAAGAAGATATAAGAAAAAGAATTCTATATTCCAGCTGAAAAACCCTTTCAATATGTCCAGTTAGAATTTCTCACTGCCTTTTCTAACTAGAATGAAATTAGACCAAAGAGCTTAATACAGGAAGAGATCTGATGAAATCACACTGGCATAGAGAAGTATATGATCCAGAAATATTCTAAGTTCCATTTGAACAAAATTCAAGTAGGATGTTGCAATGTTACAATTAAACTGTAAGACAGTACACCTCATTTATTTCCTATAACGAGTGAGTGACAAGCGATTCTTAAAGCAAGGAATCTAACATCTATATAATACAATGTGAATTTTAGATCTCACAGATACATCACTATTCAGTTGTCTCTGTCTGAAATTTGATATTATGCTCTGAACATACATGGACTCTTTTAATGGCTTCAAACTACCTTATAAGGACCCTTTAGTCATTAATGCCCAAGAAATTATACCCCTCATAATGGTTCAGCCACAGGGATTTGTTTAACCAGAAAGAAACGGTATTAAATTCAAGCTTTCTAAGGAGCTATGTAAATGATATAGATGGAGCTATTATTTCTTGGAATAATCTTTTAAGTTTAAAATTAATTTCTATTAGGCTTTTATTCAAATTATAATATTTAAAAATAACAAAGAAAATAGAAAAAAAGTATGTGACCCTTAGAATCTGTAAAAGTGGCACCAAAGTATATTTTATATTTTCCCTACTATCCATCAATATGAAAATGGAGAAATAAAGGTAGTACCTCCTTACTATGGAAATACAGTCTTTACGCAACATGAGATATAAATCTATGTGATCTGACATGGAAAGATGTCCACAGCAAATTACACAAAACAAATTAATACACCCACCCCAAACCATAAATATGTAACATTCATGCAGCAAAGTTCTGAGTGTTTCCTATTTTAGAACTTATACACATGAGTGTTACCACTAAACTGGTATTTCACTTTCATATTTTAAAATCAATGGTCTAAGAGATTTATGTTTATCTAGATGATCAGAGTGTTAGAAAATTTTCACCTCTAGATGTGTTTGACACAAGTTAAAAAAATATTTTAAAAATGTTTACAGGTGGACATGAACTTTTCAGTTTGACACAGACCCTGCTAATTCCTATTTACTCACAGTGACCTGCATCATACACTTATGGAACCTGCCTGGTCCCAGAAAAGGCACTGGGTTTCTAACTCATGATAGAATTTGAAAGTGGCTTTGGGCTACAAAATGAGAATAAAACGTAGGGTAAGATTTAAAACCTATTTTGAGGGAACCTAATCACCCCTTGGGTGGGGAAGGAGAGAACATGACAACTGTAAAAGAAAGCCTATAAAACATAAATCTCAGAATTCATCAAATCTTATAGTTAAAACTATCTGAAACTGACAGTAATAGTTAAAGACTGCTTCAGAAAAGAAGCTTATGTCCAAAATTTAAAATAACAGCAATAAACCAACAAAATTAAGTTGCTAAGTAAAGGAACACATTACCTGAAACACTTCCAGGGCCTGGAACAGTGTCCAGCACATACTAGGTGTTCAACCAGTATTTGACTAATACTTCAGTTTCCTGAGTTTCAAGATATATGTGGAAATGTACACCTGAAAGGTCAGCGCTGAGACTCAAAGCCAGGCTTCA